AGCACTGTTTTTTCCCAACCATCCTGTGGTGTTGGGTCCTCGTTCTGAAGAGACAGCACCCCGCGTCTCCTTCCTTCCTCCCCCTCCTCCATCCTTCCATCCCTGCCTCTGCCCTGCATGTCTCGGTTTCGGCCCACCCCTCACACGTTTCCTGGCCCCATAGGGGAATCCACCGAAGGCCCCAGTGGCAGGGTCCACATGCGGCTCCCCGCCCTCCGCATGTCCATGTCGGCACGCCACTCACATGTTTCATGGTCCCATAGGCAGCTCCTCCGAGGATGATGCTCACAATTTCGATGTTCGCAACTGCGCATGGTGGGTCCTTCGCCAGGATCGTCACTTTTTCCCTCTGGCGACAAAGGGCGTGACCATGGGGGGGGGAGGGGGCCGGTCACGTCACGCTTCGCGCCAGCGCCGTCTGCGAATGCCTTGCCAGACGGCGCAGGCGTGAAGAGTGATGTGACCGGAGGCGGGGGCGTGGCCAGTCACGGGCGTTATCGCGAGTAATGAAGCAGCAGGTTTCCGTGGTGGTACCGGGCATGCGACGTATGGATTTGTTCAATGTGCGGCCCCCGGAAGTCCCAATCCTTTCCCAGTGCCAGTTCTTTATCCCGAGCCGTTTTCTTTTGACGGTCCCGAGGCCTGGCGAGGGTCCCAAGAGGCCCAAAGTGGCCGAAGTGGGATGTTTCCCAGAGCTGCAACGCCAGCATCTCAAGGTCGGCGGCGCCCACAAAAGGGGCGGCGCGGGGTGGGCTTTTAAGAAGGTGGCGGGGCTTCTAAGAAGGCAGGGGAAGCTTCGCAGAGGCCCGCACGGTTTCTGAGCAGCCTCCTCAGAAGCCTCCGGGGCCTCCGCAAAAGGCTGGAACTCGGGTTCGCCGAAGCTTTCTGACGAGCGCGTCCCAGATCTTGGGATGTCTGCAGCGTGAGCTCGCGTCAAATTCCAGATTGGGTCTCGTCATTGTCACGATGGCCACGTCAGCCCGTCAGGCCAGCCCGCGTCCCCTGTACCCGAGTCTCACGTCTCCCCGACATGGAAGGCCGCCCGCCTCGCGCCGACCCCCTGTGGGCGCCGCCAGCGCGCCCTCCCCTCTCCGCCCCCGGAGGCGGCCCTGCCCCTCCGAAGCGAGCGGCCAGGGCGCGGAGGCCGCGGCGCCGCAGCGCGGGCGGGCGGGCCTCGAGGGCGCCCCGCGGCCGCGGGGGTCCTCCGAGGGCCTTCACCCCGTCCCGAGGCACGGGGCCTCCCGGAGGGGGTTTCCGAGGATCGGCGGCGAGCGAAGGGGGGGCCAGTGAGAAGGAGAAGGCCTTCTCAGAAGGCGGCGGGACTTCTCGGAAGCCCTCGCGCCTTCTGAGAAGTTTTCTGCGGCTTCGGGTCAGGCTCAGAAGACTTCTCAGAAGGCTGGGGGACTTCCGAGCCTTCTGAGAAGGCCTGCCCCTTCTCACTTCCCCTCCTCGCTCGCCGCCGAGAGGAGATGTCGGGGGCACGCAGTGGGGGGCGGGGAGCACCAAAAACGGTGTCGTTTTGCGCCAGCGTTGGCGCGCAAGCTGCCCGCGTGAGGTCGCGCGTGAGCGCCCTCGTCTCCAGCGCAGCGTGCCGCGCGGGCGGATCGCGCAAGCCACCGCGTAGGGTCGCTATGTGTTCTCGCGAAGGATCCGTTTTCGATCGTCGCTCAGGTGGGGTTGGAGAGGGAGCCCAGCTGGATGCTCGCATTTTGCTTGCCTCAGGGGCAGTATGGGGGGCTATTTTTTGGTCCAGCTAGCCTTAAGTCGTGCCTGTCCCTCTGCAAGAGGAATATTCCCAAATAGTCAAACGTAGCCTGGGGATTGTTTTCCTGTTATTTTCCGACCATTTTGGAGTATTTTTAATTTTTTTTAGGTTTCCTCCAAAATCCCCTCGTAGGGGGACAGGCCCGACTTAAAGCTAGCCTCACCGCTGCGTCCCCCCGAAGGCGGGGTTGGGGCATCGCGCCGCGTGGCTTATGCATCGGCCATCGGCCGTGCGGCTGGATGCGCATCGCAGACGTCGCCGATGCATCGGCGACGCGGCGCGATCCTCCCATCCCATCCGAAGCATTCGGACCCCCTTTGGAAGGCCTCTCAGAGGCGGCCCCGCCCCTCCGAAGCGAGGGCGCGGGCGGGCGGGCGGACCTCAGGGCGCCCGGGTCGCTGCCAGCGGCGAGGCCGCAGGGTTTGGGGGGGAGGTCCGAGGATGCGGCCCCGACCCTCGGGGGAGGGAGGAGCGAAAGGGGGGGGGGGGGGGCACCCATAGCGAGGAGGTCCACGACGCCTCCCCGAGCTGGGGAAACGGGGATGTCTCGAGCGAGAGGGTGGGGCCACACCACCCGGAGGATCCCTCTGGCTCCTCCCGCTGGCGGTCCCTGGTGGTAGTGGTGTCGCTTTTCCCTGCTCCTAGAGGAGGAAGCGGTATGTTGCCTCGAGCGAGAGGACCACACCACCCGGGGGACCCTCTGCCTCCTCCCGCTGGTGGTCCCTGTTCCTAGAGGAGGAAGCGGTATGTTGTCTCGAGCGAGAGGACCACACCACCCGGGGGACCCTCTGGCTCCCCCCGTTGGTGGTCCCTTTAGGTGGTGGCGTCGCTTTTCCTTGTTCCCAGAGGAGGAAGGCGGTATGTGCCGATACCGTCACCCCTGCCTCACTTTCTCTTCGGGGTCTCCTGGAAGGCCCTCGTCGAAACAGCTGGATTCGCTTCGAAATTCTGGTCAGAACGCACCCTGTGAGAGGTCCAGGATCAGATCGAGGTTCCGAGGTTCGAACTTCCAGGTTTTCGAGCGTTTTCGTCGGTTCTCGGCGGCTTTCCAGCGTCGGGATGCCTTCCAGCAGCCGCGCTGCGCCGAGGGCGCTCCAGGGGTGCCCGGATCGGTCCGAGGAGCCGCCCGGGACCCGAGCTGGCGGCTTGCAGGAGCGGCATCGGTGTCTCTCGGTCTCCCCCGGGGGGGGTGGCGGGCAGCCCGGGGAGCACGGGCCGTGCCGTGCGCCCGGCACAGGCCCTGGCGCGACCGCACTTCGAGAGGGCGGCCCCTCGCAGGGGTGGCCCATCGGTGTGGGTCCGCTCGTGGGGTCTCCCGGTCGCTGGATGCGGTATGGCAGCGGCCTGCGCGCTCCCGACCCCCTTCCCTGGGGGTGGTGTGGTCCTGGGGCCCGATGGCGGGCCCCAGGAGGCCGAAATGAAGGAACAGCCCCTGGATTGAAGCAGTCATATCCGGCTGCCTGTGGCAAGTCCTGCGACCGTGCCAGAACAGCATTCTGGGTGGCGATCGTTCGAGGGGGGCACGGGATGCCGTCACGTGTGACGCCTCGTGTTTCCAGGCGTGGGGGAGCCGTGATGATGTTGCTGTTCTTGTTGTTCGTGATGGTGGTGGTGATGATGATGATGATGATGATGATGATGATGGTTATGCTGATGCTGATGCTGCTGATACTGGTAATGCGGATGAAGATGGTGATGCGATAATTTGATAGTGATGATGCTGGTGATGATGATGACGATGATGATTATGCTGATGCTGATGATGGTGATACTAGTGATGGTGTGATTAACTATGATGATGATGATCATGGTAATGGTAATGATGGTGGTGGTGATGCTTAATGCTAGTCTGAGGAGGCTGGTGATTATAGGCTGAAGAGTGAGATCAATACTACGATGCTGTTCATGATAATGCTGCTGCTGCTGATGATGACGGTTATGCTGGTGGTGGTGATGATGCTGATGATGATGCTGATGATGATGATAATGATGATGATGGTGGTGATGGCCAGGATGATGATGACGATGATAACGATGATGATGATGATGATGATGATGATGATGATGATGATGATGATGATGATGATGATGATGACGATGTTGATGCTGATAATGCTGATGATGATGCTTATGCTGATGATGACGATGATGATGATGACGATGATGACGATGACGATGACGATGATGATGATGATGATGATGATGATGATGATGATGATGATGATGATGATGATGATGATGATGATGATGATGGTGGTGGTGGTGGTGGTGGTGGTGGTGGTGGTGGTGGTGATGATGATGATGATGATGATAATGAGGATGCTGTTGCTGATGATGATGCTGATGATGATGTTCGTGGTGTTGATGCTGGCTATTATGATGCTGTTGATGCCGCTGATACGGATGCTGATGCTGCTGATGATGCTGCTACTGATGATGCTGATGGTGTATGTGATGGAGGATTGATAACGGATGGTGGATGTTTCGCCGCGGGGCCCGGTAACGCCAGCTTCTTGGCATGCCCAGACGACGACCTCTGCGCCCTGGAGGACGCGCGCTGGGAGACGGCGACGCGGCAGCGGCTGCAGCTTCCCAGAGCGGGGCTCTCGCAGCACGAGCTGGCAGGGGCAGCCGCGGCGGAGCCGGCCTGCTGCTTGCGCGCGGCGAGCGGAGCCAGCTGCGGCGGGGCACTTGACCGCCAGGGCTACCGAGCGCTCGCTTGCCAGCTCGGAGGCGGGGCCGTGGCTCGCCACGGCCACCTCGCGCGGCGGCTGGGGGGGCTGCTCGCTCGCTGGCGGGGCGAGAGGCCGCTTTTCGAGCAGAGAGTCCCATCGTGGGACCGCTTCTGCGGAGGGCGCCTCGAACGCGCGATCCTGGACGTTGAGTGCCAGGACGACAGAGGCCGCAGGTGGCTGGACGTCACCGTCCGCCACCCCGCGGCAGGCATGGCCGCCGAGCTGAGAGTGGCCGCTCGGCGTGACGGGGGAGCGGGGTGCCGGGGCGAGCGCGACAAGCGCGCGCGCTACCTGGGCGCGCAGCTGACGCCGTTCGTCCTGGAGACCGGCGGCAGGATGGAGGCCGAGGCGCGGCTCTGGTTGCTGGAGCAGGTTCGCCAACTGCCCAGCGACCAGGAGCAGCGCGAGCTGGCGCGGTCCTGAGCGCGGGCCTGCAGGGCTCCACGGCCCGGCAGCTCCGCAAAGCAGCCGGCCTGAAGTAGGAGGGGCTCCTCCTGCTCCTCCCCTCCGCCTCCTCCTCCCCCCCTCCTCCCCTGCGCCGCTTGGCCAGGGGGGCTCGTGCTGAACCCGTGAAGAGTCCGCGGAAAGCACGGGGTCCTGGGGCCGAGGAGGTTTTGGGTGAGAACCGCGAAGCCCTGGGTAGCAGCCCGAGGATTGCAGGTGTACGGTAGCGCGCGGTTTGTCTCAGTTTGGGCGCGCTGCTGCTTTGCTTCAACTCGCTTGCCTTCGCTAGGCGCTGCTTTTCTTTTTCTTCTTCTTCTTCTTCTTCTTCTTCTTCCTCTTCTTCTTCTTCTTCTTCTTCTTCTCCCTCTCCCTCTCCCTCTCTCGCTCCCCTGGCGTGCCTGGCTCGTGGTCTGCGACCCTCGACCAGGCGCGTTCAGTTTTCTGAAGCCCCCGCGATCGCAGCGTTGCAATCCGGCCGGGGCCCCAGATACAGCTGGGCCGTTCCACCACACGAGAATGTTGGACTCGCGGTGCTCCGCGTCACATGGCCCGCGCAGCTGGGGCGCGCCTTCGAGGCGTGGTTGGGGGGCGCCCCAGCGACGTGGGAGCCCGAGGGAGAGTCTGTCTGTCTCTCTGTGCGTCTGTCTGTCTGTCTGTTTGTCTGTCTGTGTGTCTGTCGGTCGGTCGGTCGGTCGGTCTGTCTGTCTGTCTGTCTGTCTGCCTGTCTGCCTGTCTGTCTCTCTCCCAGAGGCGCGCCCAGGGGAAGTGCGAGGTGGCGTGCCTCCTCAGAAGGTGGCGGGGCTTGTCAGAAGCCCTCCGCCTTTGAGAAGCCGTCCGCGTCCTCGGAAGGCCCGGGAACTTTTTCCAAAAGGCCAGAGGCCCCTTGAGTTTTCTCAGAAGACCTGCCCCTTCTGCCTTCCCCCGTGCGCGTGCCAGCGACTTGCCGACAACTTGCACGAAACGTACCCAACCCTTTCTCCACGCGAGGCGGCTCACCATATACATGCTTTACACAAGAGAGCGTGTTGCGGGACATGCGACACTCTTCGATGCTTCGCCGGACAGTGTCGGGTCATGCGCGTCGAGGTCTCAAGAGGTCCGTTTTGTCCTCACCTCCGCCACGCCTCCCAAGAACCCGCGAAACTGGCGACACTTGCGCAGTTGGCAGCTCTCGCGGGGGCCGCGCGGTCCCAAAGGGATCCCCGCTGCCCTGCACCCCCGCCGTGCGCCCCAGGAACCCACGAACGTGGCGACAGTTGCGCAGTTTGCAGCCCCCGAGTGGGCCGCGGCCCTGCATCTCCGCCGTGCGTCCCATGAACCCACGATCGTGGCGACAGTTGCACAGTTGGCAGCTTTTGAAGAAACCGCGAGGTTCAAAGGGATCACCGCTGCCCTGCATTTCGGCCGTGCTTCCCAGGAGCCCGCGACAATGGCGACATCTGCGCCTGTTCGCAGCCCCCGATGGAACCGCGAGGTCTCAAACAGGGCCGCGGTGCCCTCACTTCAGTTGTGCTTCCCAGAAGACGAATCTGGCGACAGTTGTGGAGTTCCCCAGCCCCTGGAGCTGCGAGGTCTCATTCTGCGCTGCCATGCACTCCGCCGTGCCTCCTACGAGCCCACGAGAGTGGCGACGGTTGCGCCGTTGCGAGCAAGGGAGGCAGGGAAGCAGGAGGCAGGAGGAGAGGAGGAGGCAGGAGGCAGCAGGAAAGGGGGGACGAGGAGGAAAGGGGGGGGAAGGAGGCAAGGATGGAGGCCACAGCGCTCTATCCAAAACGCTAGCCCGACCAAACGAGGGCTGGGAATACAAAAGCCACTCCGCCGGGAGGCTCTGCGAGGGCGTACGGCCGGCGCTCTCCGAGCGGGCTGCCGGCGGATGGCGATATTCGCCTGCGCGGGCGTGGACTGCCGGCCGTGCGAAGTCGCCGCGAAGGGCCAGTCGCCGTGGTCGGTCGGCCGGCGCCTGGGGGCCAGAGTTCACGGGCCGCGTGCGGGGGGGATGGGCACAGGTTTCATCGGGCCGAACGAAAAGGGGGGTAATAGGGAAAAGGGGGGTTACGAAATCTGCTGCGCGCAGCGGGTTTCAGCCCCACCGAGGGGCCTGTTCCTCCATACGTGGCCGCCTGCCGGGAAAATCAGCTACGCGAGCTGATTCTCACCCCCCCCTTTGCTATCCCCCCCATTCGCCCGGCCCGTCAAGCAGTTGTCAATCGTCCTGGTTGGCCTATAGGCCTACCAAAGAATGTTCTAAGAGCCTTGTTGTGGTTTCAGCGAAACGTTCTTAGAACACTTCTGGCTGGGGCTGTCTTATATTAATGTAGAATGCTTTCTAAGAACATTGTTTTTGTTATTTGAATATTTTGGGGGTTCTAAGAATATTTTGTGGTAGGCCTATAGACATGCGGGGACGGTCGGTCCCTGCTCGACAGGTGGGGGAGGGGGGGGGACATCGCTTTCTGGAGGTCTTGGACCGCCCTGCGGCGCCCCCGTGGCCACGGCCAGACCCGCTTCGGAATGCTGGTCAGAACGCAGCCCAGGAGCGGTCCAGGGATTGGCTTTTGGCCCCCGATCGAAGTTCCGATGTGCGAGGCTCGGGGTTTTCGGACGTTTTCGTCGGTTCTCGGGGGCTTTCCAGTCACGGGGTGCTCTCCAGCGGCTGCGCCTCGCCGAGGGTGTTCCGGGGGCTCCCAGATCGTCGCGAACGGCCGCCGGGGATCCGAGTTCTGACCTGAAAGCCAAGGGGCAACGCACGGGGGTGAGCGGCTCAGGGGGGATGCATCGACTCCCACTTGCCCATTCCTTTTCGATAGGGGCTCGAAAGCCCACCATGATCGATCCCCCTCCTTCTGTTCCTCCTCCTCAGTAGGAGGAGGAAGAGGAGAATGATGAGTAATCCTTAAGGGCTTCGCTCCCTGCCGCCGGCCCCCTCTCTCGGAGAATGGGGTATGCAAGAGCTATCTTGTGAGGCCAGGGCACCGTCGTGAAGCAGCGTCGGAACTCCGAACGGGAGCCTCTTGAGATGTCCAGGTGCATACTGCGAAATTTAATGGAGAGTATTGCCTCGGAGACGCGAACAAGGCGAAATGCACGATGAATGATAATCTCGGGATCGCGAAAACAGTGTACTTTGCGAGGGCTTATGGCCTCGGGGACGCGGACATTGCATAATTTACAAAGGATTTGCGAGAGATTATGGCCTCGGGGGGCGCGAACACGGCCTAATTTACGAGGGATTATGGCTTCGGGGGCGCGAATCTCAAGTATTTTTGCGTGTCCCAGTACCTCCCAGAAATTCAGAGAATTCCTTCAGGTAAAGGTATATAACCAGGGCCCTTTTCGACTCCCCCCCTCGAGCGGACTTCAATCACAATAGGAAGCAGAACACAGAATTGTAACATCGGAGACTGGAGCCCGGAACTGGAGCAGGGAGCAGCAAGCCTAAGCCGCGGAGCCAGATGACTCCACAAGGGGGCAGGCGGATCTTGTTTCTCTTCCTAATCCTACTTCTTCTCCTCCTCTTCCTCACTCCTGCCGATCCTCCTACTTTTAACCCCTCTGGACCCCATTAACCCTCTGAACCCTGTCACCCCTCTCAACCCTCGTGTCCCCCTCCTCATGCTGGTGGTGGCGCCCATCTTCACTCTTCCCATCCTCTGGCCCCGGGACGATCAGGACCCGCGGCGAAGCGGCGACCCCCGGGGCTTCAGGGCTCGGAAGGCCGCGCGGGGACGCTCCTCTGGCGGGCACGTCGGGTGCTCCTTCAGGCCGCCCCCCCCCCCCGTGGCCCTCGCGCCCCTGGGCCCGCACGGTGCCACGGCGCCGCGGCGCCGGCGGACAGCAGCGGCTGTGGTGGGGCCCTGGCCCCGCCGCCGTGGTCATCGCCGCCATCGTCGCCAGTATCGCTGCTCTCATCGTCGCGTCCACCGTCGTCGGCGTCGCCGCGATGCCGCGCCCGCCCAAGTCGCCGACTCGCACTGAAGTGCCCGCTGGGAAGTGCCCGGCGGTCAGCGACACCGCGGCCGCGTCGGTCGCGCCGAGCTAGCTGGCCGCCGTGCCCTGAGCTCCGACGCTGCGAAGACAGAGCGACGTCGCGAAACACCACGCCCGGAGCCCTAAGACCTTATCTTTCTGCGGCACGCTTCGAGCTGGATGGATCTGTGAGGACCTCGGGGCCTGGAACAACTCAGGAGGGAAAGAAACACACAGACACAATTAATCGTCGACTCCCAGGACAATATGGAAAAATATGGGAATTGGGGGGGAAGACAAAAACCCAGAAAATATGGGAAAATATGGGGAATCATTTTATTTGTGTGTGCATGCATTTGTGTGTCCTTGGGCCCCTTGAACAACGCCCGCTGCGAGAAGAATAGGCGACGCCAGGATCTCCGGGGAGGCACGGCACCGCCCCCTACCCTGGCCCCCTCGTGGGCGGCTGGCCGACCGCGCGTGCCAGCGGGGGGGCGGCGTGGTGCACCTGGACGAGGGCAGCGGCGGCCTCGGGTGGCGGCAGGAGCGACGGCGTGGGCGGGGCACATACAGTCGGGGCGCTGAAGAAGGAACCCTTTTCGTTTGGGGGGGCTCAGTGTTCCTTAGTTGTTTTGCAGCTCGCCCTAGGTTTTCCTTAGGTCTTCGATCGGAATTCGAAGCTTAACTTATGGAAAAAAGGGGCCTCGTTCCTTATTAGGGTTCCTTAGGTCAACGCCCCGACTGTATCCACATCCACGGCCTCGAAGGCCTCAGGGGCAACGGTGGGGAAAGGCTCAGGGGGGAACGCATCGACCCCCAATCGCCCACTGCTCGCCGATGGGGGTCTGATGGCCCACCCCGCCCAGGAACATGCGGATTCGCTTCCAGGGCCCATCGCCTCTCGGCGATGTATCGCCGACGTTAGGTCGATGCTTCCCTCCGTGAGCCAGTCCCTCCCCGTCGTTGCTCTTCAGGGCACCTGAGCTGTGGCCCCACGGATACGGGCGTTTTTTAGCGGATGCCCCGTGCGGTGCGCTTCTGTGCGGCCGCGCATCCACGGTGTCGCGTCCCGGGAGTCCAGACCGCGTCGACGTGTACATGTTCAGCGCTCGTGAGGACGAGAACGCCGGGGAACCCGAGGAGGAGGCCGGGCCGGCCGGGTGCTGGGAGGCGCCGCCGTGCCGCGCCAGGGAGGAGCTGGTCTCGTTGCCCCGGCGGAGGCAGCCGCCTACTGCGGACTCGGAGGCCGTCATGGGTTTTGACAAGTGGTACGTAGGTATTCGAAGGTTTTTTTCCAAACCATCCTGTGGTGCTGGGTCCTCGTTTTGAAGAGACAGCGCCCCGCGTCCTCCTCTCCTCCTCCCCCTCCCGCCACTGCCTCTGCCCTCCGCGTGTCCATGTCGGCACACCCCTCACACGCTTCGTGCCCCCATAGGGAGCACCTAAGGCCCAGTGCCTGCGTTCGCATGCAGATCCACCCCCCATCTGGCACACCCCTCACACGCTGCGTGGCTCCACTGGGAGGTCCACCGAAGGCCCCAGTGGCTGCGTCACCAGAGGCCCCAGTGGCAGCGTTCGCATGCGGTTCCACCCCCAAGTCGGCGCACCCCTCACACGTTTCGTTGTCCCATAGGGAGGTCCACCGGAGGCCCCAGTGGCAGGATTCGCATGCGCTTCTACGCCGCTTTTCTGTGGCTCGCGTCGTCCCGGGCCAGGCGGGTAGAAACGCATCGGAAGCGAATGGGGAGTGAACGTGAGCACAAAAAGTGGCGGAGCCCAGGGCTCGCCCCACTTCAAGCCCACTGCGACTTCTGACCGTTCGCGCCGTCCAGGGCCAGGCTGGCAGAAACTCCTCCTCCTGCTCCTCCTCCTCCTCCTCCTCCTCCTCCTCAAGGGGGGAGAGAGAGAAAGGAAGAGAGGCCGAACAAAAAGGGCACAGAAGGGCGGAGCCAGGGGCTCGCCCAATGCGACTTTGACGGCTCGCGCCGTCTCGGACCAGGCTTGCAGAAACGCACCAGAAGCAAATGGGGGCGAGAGAGCGGGAGAGATCTAGGCCTCCTAGACGGGTTCGGAGTAGATGGGGGTCGGAGGATCGCGCCGCATCGTTGATGCATCGCCGATGCGGCTCGATATGCAGTCCGATTTGCTTCACGCCGACGTCGCCGATGCATCGCCGACGTCGACGATACATCGCCGGTGCATCGCCGATACATCGCCGATACATCGGCGATGCGGCGCGATCCTCCGACCCCATCTACTCCGACCCCATCTAGGAGGCCTCTGAGAGAGGCGGGAAGGATGTCGTCACAGAGCGGCGGAGCCTGGGGCTCGCCCCACTTCAAGCCCAACGCGTCCCGATGGCTCAGTGGTTTTGCGATTGCGTCGCGGAGCTTGGCGTCGCATTGCCATCCCAAACATGTTGTGGAGGATGCCCGGTGATTCCTGAGGATGCCTTGGCTCCGATGGAACTATGAGGAGTCTTGCGGACACCTAAAGGTTCCGATAGATTTTCGTATATGCATTCCGAAGGACCCTGAAAGCAGTCGATCAAAGAAGCGGGGTTACCAATTACGCCCCACCCGTCTGACACGGAAGCATAGATAGCATCTTGAGGCTCTCTCGGTGCGCTTGTGCCGTCTTAGAACCCTCTGGGGCCTCTGGGGCTTCTTGTTGGGAAACTGTTTGGGCTGTTTTTGGGCCATTCGGCCCGCGCTTCCCTTCGCTTCTCCAGCGGGATCCCCCGTTGCAAACCGACCTGACTGGGATTCCAGGGGAACGGCTTAGGGCAAGGCAACATCTTCACACGGCAGAGCCCGAAGGACCAGCGGATGCCCGATGCGACCCCCGCCATCGCGACGTGGGCATCCCATATTGATGTCCACGGCCTCGCGGTCCAGATCCGCGCGCGACCCCACGGGTATAGGGCGGCCCTTTGCGCCCATTGGATCGCGCTTGGGTGCCCACACCACCGCCAGGGCATGGACATGGGTGGCATCGGCTCAAGATTTGGTCCCAACAGCCCTCTCGGATTCCATTTGGGCCAGTTTGCCATCTAAGGAAATGAATTGACGGTCCCGGTGCCAGGAAGCTGCCCCCAGGCAAAAGGAAAAACGACGAGACGTGAGATCCGACATGTCCCCCCGGATGTTCAGCATCGTCTGACCCACTCCCATCCCCACTTGGCCATGTTACCTCCGCCCCACCAGCCCACGTGGGGATGGGCCCTGCGAAACCCGAGGGAGCATGCAGAAATGATCCTGGGTCGAGGCTTCACGCGCCCCCCTCAGATGGGATGGGTCCCAGGGCGCCCCCCCCGATGTGATGGGGGGGACGACGACGACGACGACGACGACGACGACGACGACGACGACGACGACGACGACGACGACGACGACGACGACGACGACGACGACGGCGATGACGACGGCGGCGGCGGCGGCGGCACCACCCGACACCCACAGGGGGAGGGGCGGGGGCACCGGCACCCCCTCCACGCTGCGGCCGTCAGGGGAGATCCCACTCGCGAGGCATTCGCGAGGATCACGGGCGTACAGTCGGGGCCCTGAAGAAGGAACCCTTTTGGTTGGGGAGGGGCTCCGCGTTCCTTAAGTGTTTCACAGCTTGCCTCAGGTTTTCCTTAGGTCTTCGATAGGAAATCGAAGCTTCACTTATGGAAAAAAGGGGCCTCGTTCCTTATTTAGGGTTCCTTAGGTCAACGCCCCGACTGTACCCATCTAGGGAGGGAGGGGGGGCGATCCGATCAGATTTTGGGATGGGGGGGCGGAGACCTGGATCAAATGTCCCGACCTGGGTAGAGGCAAGTCGGCACACTGGGGCCAGGGCCCCGACAGTTGAGACAGGGATCGTATAAGCGATGCTCGGATGCGTTCACCGCCCGCGAGGTCGAGCTGGAGGGGGAGCTGCTCACCGCGGAAGCCGACCCTGGTCAGGCTCGGCAGGCGCTAACTGTGCACCGACACCGATCTTGGCCAGGCCCATCCTGGGCCCAGAGGCCAGGACCCAGACCTCCTCGAGTCGTGAACAAACATCACGACGGGAGGATCTCGGCCATTCTCGGCCTCCGGGGGCCCTTACCAGGCGCCGGGGCCGTCAACAAAACGACTCGGAATGAAAAGCCCATCTTGGGGAAAGTGTCGGGACTGCCAGGGACCGCGTATCGAACCCCGAGCGTGCACCCAGACCTCCGACGACGTGATCTGTTCACAATTTGGACCCCCGAAGGTCTGGACCCCTTGCCCGGTGTCGGTTTTCACTCCAAGTCGTGTTGTGACGGCCACAGGAGCTCTGCAAGGGCCCCCCCGAGGTCGAGGGAAGGGTCCCAGACCTTCCGTCGCGATCTTTTGGCGGCGCGAGGGGCCAGGAGGTCTCAGCGCACCGATCCCAGACATCCGACGATACAGTGGAGACCCATGCCAAGAAACACCCTGCTTGCCTCCGGGGTGCCCTTGGTTTTCTTGGGTTTCGATGATTTTGCGATGGAGAGTGTGACGTTCCCACACGAAAAGTCAATGCACATCCTGGGGTCTCAGTGTTGGGCTTCTTGTGGAAGGCTCCTTGTGGTCGGGCTCCTCCTGTGTGTTCCCTTCCCCTTCCTTCGGATGCAACTCCTGGGAGGTCAAATTCTGAATTTGCCCTTGTCCGAAATCTGGCTCAATCCTGTTTGATCCCGCTTAATCCGGCTTAATTTTGTTTAATCCGGCTTAATCCGGCTTAATCCCGCTTGATCCCAGGCCCAGTTTGTCGCAACAGCCTCCCAGTGGGGCTTGATCCTCTTTAACCTTTCCGACGAATACCTCCCAGTACAGTCGGCCCGGATTAGTAGGTCGACCATGCCAGCTCAAGGGTACCCTTGTGTCCTGTGCCTCGCGACACGTGCCTTCTCACACTCCCTATGGCGATGTGGCCCTCGGAAGGGTCTTGTATCCTCTCGCGTGTCCTGTCCAATCCAGGCCGACTGTACAGTCGGGGCGCTGAAGAAGGAACCCTTTTCGTTGGGGAGGGGCTCCCTGTTCCTTCATTGCTTCGCAGTTTGCCCCACGTTTTACCTAGGTTTTCGATGGGCAATCGAAGGTCAACTTGTGGGAAAAAGGGGCCTCGTTCCTTACTCTTAGGGTTCCTGAGGTCGACGCCCCGGACTGTATGGCGATGTGGCCCTCGGAAGGGTCTCGTGTCCTCTCGCGTGTCCTGTCCAATCAAGGCCGACTGCAGTTGCCTCCTGCCCCTTCCCCGGGGGGCAGTTCTGTGGCCCCGGCTTCCTGCTCCCGAGGGCCCCGTGCCCGACGGCGGAGAGAGGCGAGGGCACGGAGACACTTCCGGCTGGGCAGACGTCACCTCGCCGGGGGTTTGGGACGGCTCGAGGCCTCCCAGATGGCTCCTCCCTCCTCCTCCTCCTCCTCGCCTCCTCCTCCTCCTCCCTCCTCCTCCTCCTCCTCCCTCCTCCTCCTCCTCCTCCTCCTCCTCCTCCCTCCTCCCTCCTCCTCCTTCCTCCTCCTCCTCCTCCTCCTCCTCCTCCTCCTCCTCCTCCTCCTCCTCCTCCTCGCGGGGCAAGTGGCTGCTGGAGTCCTTCCACTTGCCGCGGCTGCTCACATCTTCCAGGTTCAAGTCGAATGCGCGCTGCGTTTCGGGCGGTGGCTGTGGGTGGTGGGAGAAGACGCGCCGTGCAAGCTGGAGCAGAGCTACGGGGCGTGGGCGCGCGCCCTCCTGGGTAGCCCTCCCTGGCGAGGGGGGGCTCTGGCCTGCTCGGAGTTGGGCTGGTCGCTTTTCGGGCCGGCCAGGGCCGTGTTGGAGGTTGCCTCCCGGCGCGCCGGTCTGTGGCAGCTTCCAGAGGAGGACCTCTACAAACGAGTGTTTGTGCACGCCCACGTGTCAGGAGGCCGCACTTGGGCACAGCTTTCGCTGGCCCTTCTTGATGCGTGGTCCGTCCCAGATTGGCCAGCAGCAGAGGCTGCTTACGAAGGGTTGTCTCTGCGTCAGTGCAAGGCGCACGTGCGGGCCCTCCTGGAGGCCCGGTGCGCGCAGGAGCTGAGGCGGCAGGCGCTTGGGCTCGTGAGGCCGCTCCCGGTCCTGTCTCTTGGCCCAGTTCCTCGCCTGGACCTTGCCGCGGCTCTCAAGCAAGGGCTCCCTTTCGACGTCCTGCTGGGCCAGCGCTCGCTGAGCAGGCTCCGTGGGCGGCTGGTTGCGCTCAGCCACTCCGCTGGCTCCTTCTCTTCGGCGCGGAGGCAGGCTTGCGTCCTCTGCGGGGAGCAGGTTCTGAGTCTCACTTTTCATGTTTTGTGTAACTGCAAAAACACTGAAGGATGCAGGCGCACTTTCTGGAAGGCCCGCGGCGGCGGGATCCCGTCCACCAGGGAAGCTGCGGCCACGGTGATCTAGTCGGCAGCTCCGGCGGACGCCGGGTACAACGAGGCGGCGCTGATGGCGCTCCACGTTGAGAAGGAGGCGGATCGTTTCTGGGCGGTCGCCAGCAGAAGCCTCCCCCGCTCGCCCCGTCTCCTTCCCTCTCTCCTTCCCTTTCTCCCTCCCTCCCTCCCGCCTTCCGCCCGGGAGCCAGGGTGGTCGTGTCGGGTCGGGCCGGGGTGGGCCTCTCTCTTCGCCCCGTCCTCTCTCCCTCTCTCCTCCTCCCTGGGGTGGTTTTCTCTCCCCTTCCGATCTCGCCCCCTCCCGCCCTCCCTCTCCTCTGCCTGGCGCTTCTGGGGGGAACGGTACCCTGACCGCTGCTCGTTCGGGGGTCCCTTTGTCGCCACGGCTGGATTCTCCTCGGGGCTCTGGTCCTGCCCTGGGGTGCAGCGGGGGCGGTATTCTTCTCCCGGTGGGCCCTTGGCAGGCTGGCCGGGTCGGGCTGGGCCCTCTTTCCCCCCCCCTCCGGGTGGCTCCCTCTCCCTCTTCCTGTCGCCGTCCCGCACCTGCGGGGTGCGTCGACCAGGCAGTGTAGTGGGGATCGGACGAGCTCCAGGCAGGTGCTCCCTGCCTGGCCCCCCCCCCGCGTTGCGGGGAGTCTCTGAGTTGCCTCTGCTGCTTCGCTCAGGCCGCGGCTCAGGGCGGAGGTGTTGGCTGGAGCTGCGAGGTCCTTCGGAGGCCGGGGGGGGTCGCCTGGGCAGGGGCTGTGCCCCCCCCCCGGCGCCTTGGCGCCGCTCCCCGGGCTCGTGTTGAGCGCTGGGGGGGGGGGGGTCCAGCGCCGACCCAAGAATTCCGCCTAGGCCCCCCGAGAGCTAAAGCTTTCGCCGACCCTCCCCCCGTTCCCTCCAGTGCTAGCGCTTTGTCTTCCAGAGCCGTCGCAGCGAGGTCGCTTCCAAACCCTCTCCGGGTCGTGGCTCCTTGCTAAAAGGAAGCGCCGTCCGACGCTTCCGCCGCCAGCTCAAAGGGAACACATCTACCTCCCTCCTCCCTCCTCCTCCTCCCTCCTCCACCCTCCTCCCTCCTCTTCCTCCCTCCTCCTCCCTCCTCCCTCCTCCCTCCTCCCTCCTCCTCCCTCCTCCTCCCTCCTCTCCCTCCTCCTCCATCCTCCTCCCTCCTCCTCCCTCTTCCCAGATTAGGGATGGCCCGACAGCGGCCCCCCCCCGAGGCGCGAGGGCACGGAAAAACTTTCGGGTGGGCAGACACCACCTCGCCGGGGGTTTGGGACGGCTCTCGGTATCCTTTAACCAATCCCCATCCCCAGCCCCATCCCCTTCGAGACCCGCGCCAAGTTGCCACCCCAGTTGGGGATACGCCCCTCGAGACTCGAAGGGAGCGACCTGTATCCCCATCTAGCGGGGTAAATCGGCCAGTGGGGCTCGGGCCACGCCGCTGGGGATGGGGATCGGTTGAACGATACTCAGGCTCGAGACCTCCCAGAAGGGGTCCGAGTGGATGGGGGTCGGAGGATCTCGCCGCGTCGCCGATGCACTGGCGATGCGGCTTGAGGCGGAGCCCGGTTTTCTCCACGCCGACGGCGCTGACATGCGTCGCCGACTTCGGCGATGCATCGTCGATGCCGACCCCATCTATGTACTCGGACTTCCTTTGAGGGGGCTCGATGGGTCGGACAGGGATCGTCGGATATCTGGGCTTTGGGGTCCCAACTCGTGTTTCTGGCTGCCTTTCGGGACGGTCATGGTACCCCGAGGACGCCCCCTGTCGAGGCGCAGCTGCTGGGAAGCACCCCGAGGCGAGGCAGTCTTCAGGGCACGGCGGGGACTCCCAAGAACACTTGAGGAAGGCAGATCGCCGCAGATCTGGGCCCGGGTCGGCCAGAGTCGGTATCGATTGACCGATCCCCATCCCCATCCCCATCCTTTTCGAGACCCCCGCCAACTTACCCCCCAGTTGGGGAGGCACCCCTCGAGACCCGAAGGGATCGGCCCGTATCCCCATCCGGTGGGGAAGTCGGCCAGTGGGGCCCGGGCCACGCCGCTGGGGATGGGGATCGGTTCAACGAGTAGGGGGCCACATGCGAACCCTACCCCTGCCCTCCACGATTTCTGAGGGGAGGGTGGAGTTCACTTCGCTCGGGAGCTCCCGATCGAAGTGAACCCCACCCTTCCCCTTCAGAAATCGTGGGGGGTAGGGGTAGGCTTCGCATGTGGCCCGCTAGCGAGACTCACGGAGGCGTGCTGGGCCCCGGGCGGGTCCGACGGGGATCGGTGCGGGTGCGGTCGGCGCCCCCGCAGGCGGTGCGCAGCGGGCCGCTGTCGGCCCGGGTGCGGGTCCCGCCCGGGCGCGCCGGCGGCCTCTCCTGGCCCTGGTGGCCGAGGCCCCGGGAACACGAGGATGGCCGTGAGGGAACGGGGCCCCCCGAACGGGGTCGTGACCATTACCAGCCTCGAACGTATCCCTATCCCTAAGATTGACACGCCAAGAGGCGATGACAATCTTAGGGATTCGCCCTCAGAAAATAAGGGAATCCCTAAGATTGGCATCGTGATGAGGAGGTGCCCAGCATGCAGCATAGGGATAGGGATATGTTCCAGGCTGGTAAGACCACACCGTGCGGTGAGTCGGTGGGGATTCTGGGTCACCGCGCGGTTTTGGGACTCGGGTCGCTCTCCGAGGACGTCTCGGGTGACTGGGGCGTCCGAGGTCCCAAGACCGTGCGGTGACGGACCGTGCGGTGAGGTCTCTTGGGGTTCCGAGGGCACCGCACGGTCAGTCACCGCACCGTTTCGGGACTCGAGGGTACGGGGTTTTGGAGGAACTGCAGACTGTTTTCCCAGGGTCCGTTGATTGGGAGCCAGCTGGGGGTGTGAGGTGGCCCAGCACTGGTTCCGGCGAGCAGGAAGGGGGGCTGAGGCTGCAGGGTTCGGGCTCTGGGGGCCGCATTCGGGCTCTGAGACCGGCAGAAACGGATCTGGAGTGAAAAACTGCACAGGACGGCGCCTGCGAGGGGTCCGGGGGCCAAATTTGAGCGGATTGGGGCTCGTCCCCCCGCTCTGATTGATTCCCTGGGGTCCCAACCGCTCTTCAGAACCCCCCGACCGCCTCCAATCCCAGCGAGCGTTTTTTATTCTCTGGCAATCTCGGGCCCTCGAGGGACCGGAGCCTATGTTTGTCTAGGTTCCGGCGATGACTCCAGGCATCGGACCCGCCCGTCCCCGCCCTCCCCTGGATGACCTGACCTTGTCGACTGCGCAGGTCCGAAGGGGCACGCAGTCCTGCTGGTGCGCGCGTGCGCACGTGGGACTGCCCAAAGCCAACACTTGATGGGGTATCGGCTGGGGGGAGGGGGGGAGGGGGCCTGTCACGTCGCGATCCGCGCCGGCGCCGTCTGGGAGTGCCTGAGAGTGGCTCATTGCCAGACGGCGCCGGCGCGACTCGTGACGTGACCAAGGGGGGTGGGAGGGGTGGGGGCGGTGCCGGTCGCGGGCGTGATCGATCGCGAATGATGATGCAAAAACGAGCTCCTGGAATTAATTTTGAGTCGGGCATGTCTCTCTGCAGGAGGAATATACAAAAACAGTCCAAAAATAGTCAGGGGATGATTTTTTTCTACTCTTGAGAATTTCATCATTTTTTTTTGACTATTTCTAATGGTTCTCCCCAAATCCGCCTGCATAGGAGCACATGCCCGACCGAAAGTGAACTTCCACCGCGTGTTCGTCTGGGACTCTCCCGGGGCCCTCTTGGGAGGCGGTGCCCCTCGTAGCCGCCCGGGCGGCGACACCCGCTGCCCGGCCGTTCTGCCGGGGGGCCGCCGGGGTGTGCGCTGGACGCCTCGTCTTCCCTGTGGGGACAGCGCCCGGCCGGCCGGGCACGCGCAGCAGGAGGGGCAATGTTCCCAGACCCCCTCGAGTAATGAAAAAATCATGACGGGAGGTTTTTCCAAATTTTCGGCCTCCGGGGGCCCTCACCGGGCCTCGGGAGCGTCAAAAACGACTCAGGATGCAAAGCCGGTCATGGGGAAAGGGTCGGGACCTCCGGGGGTCGACGTAATGAAAAAATCATTACGTCGGGGGTCTGGGTTGTCTGGTTTCTCAGGAATCCTGGGGATCTCGCTCTCCATGGAAATGAACAGGAATCCTAGGGATCTCGCTGAATTCCTTTGGAATCCGAGGGATCCCGCTCAAATCCGTCGAAATTCCTCAAGAATCCGAGGGATCCCGTTTAGATCCTGCGCGAGGGGGACTTCGCTCTCTGGAGGTCTCTGATCTGAGCGTCCCGGGGTGCCCTCGAGGCCACGGCCGGATCCTCCTCGAGCTTCCGAGCGCACCACGTGAGGGGTCCGGCGGTCGAGTTTTCGACCCCTGACCGGAAGGCCGAGGTTCGAGGTTCGTCCGTGCTCGGCGGCTGCCCGGCCCCGGGGTGCCTTCCGGCTGCCGCGCTGCGCCCGGGGCGTCCCGCAGGCGTGCCTCGCGCTCGGCCCGAGGGGCCGCCTGAGGCTCGTTACCAGTCTCGAACGTATCCCTATGAGCCTGTTTTTTTTAGACTCTGGCAAGTTTACTTGCATGGACGGGGGGGGGCTGAGCCTGAAGCAAGCCGCAAACGACTTGCACGTTCGGGGGGGGGGGGCCTCCTCGCCACGCAAGTGCAAGGGCGTTTTCTCGGGAATGGAAGATGCCTAAAGCCTTTGCCATGGGAGATGCCTAAAGCCACTTGCACCCCGGGGGGGGGGCGCGGAAATCACGCAAGTCGAAAGGCACTTGCACGCTAGTATTCGCTTGAAGAGGGGCGAGGGGGGGGGGCGAACGCCATGCAGGTAAACTTGCCAGAATCCAACAAAAACAGGCTCTATCCCTAAGATTGACACGCCAAGAGGCGATGACAATCTTAGGGATCCGCCCTCAAAAAATAAGGGAATCCCTAAGACTGGCATCGTGATGAGGAGATGCCCAGCATAGGGATAGGGATATGTTCCAGGCTGGTAAGACCACACCGTGCGGTGAGTCGGTGGGGATTCTGGGTCACCGCGCGGTTTTGGGACTCGGGTCGCTCTCCGAGGACGTCTCGGGCGACTGGGGCCTCCGAGGTCCCAAGACCGTGCGGTGACGGACCGTGCGGTGAGGTCTCTTAGGGTTCCGAGGTGACCGCACGGTCTGTCACCGCACCGTTTCGGGACTCGAGGGTACGGGGTCCTGGAGGAACTGCAGACTGTTTTCCCAGGGTCCGTTGATTGGGAGCCAGCTGGGGGTTTGTGGAGGTTCGGCCCGAAGACCGGACGAAACGGAGCCTCGAGGTGTTCTCTTAAGGTTTGGAGGTCTGCGGACGCGGTCGTCGGACGATGCGGCGGCATTCCAGCCCGAGGGTGGCCACCGCGCCTCGCCGAGGGCGTTCCTGTGGTCCAGGAGGAGAAAAAACACACAGACACGATTAATCGTCGATTCCCAGAAAATCTGGGAAGATATGGGAAGTGGGGGGGAAGACAGAAACCCCGAACATATAGCAAAATATGGGGAATCTTTTTATTTGTGTGTATTCATTTGTGTGTCCTGGGGCCCCTTCATTTTAGACTCGAAGGCCAGGGGGCCACGAGAGGGGGGGTGGGGCAACGGGCTCAGGTTCGGAATCTGGAACATATGCATTGCCAGTGGCGGGTTTGGTTTCGATCCCACGACTTGTTGAGGGTCGGGGGCGACGTCGGGGGTGGTGTGGTGTGTACTTCTCCCTTGTTTTACCAGGGACACAGCGAAACATGTATACACCAGGATCCAGTATACACCAGGATCCGCGTTCCCCTGTGCGAATTTCAACGGATGGTCGGGGAAAGCGTCGGTGTACAGACTTCGTTTCCCTTCAGGTGGGAACGCATCGGCCCCCAATCGCCCACAGATCGCCGATTTGGGGGCCCATCGCTGATTTATCGGCGACGTATCGCCCATCCCGGGTCGATGTTACCCCCCTGAAGCCGGTCCCCCCCTATCGTCTTCTATTGTTGGAGCGAGGTGTCGAGATTGGATTGATCAGTTTGGTGTTTTTGGCACTCCTGGACGAGACACTCCCTGTCTCCAGGCGGCCCTTGCCAGCATGTCTGGTCAGCGCTTCGCTTTTTCATCACATCGCTAGACAGTAAGAGCATGTGCAGAAACTGGAAACCGTTTGGTGCTGGAGATGTTTCGTTTTTTGTTTCGTCTCTCCTAGAACGCCCTCGTCGCTTCGGCTGGATTCCTCTTTGTGATTCTAGCCGAAAGACAGCCCGTGCGAGGTCCAGGGCCCGACTTTTCAGGATCGCCGTTCAGAGAGGATGGAGCTTCGAGCTTCGCGGTTCGAGGAACGAGGTGTCGTGTTCTGCTGCCTGCTTGTTAGTCCCTTAGTTATCTAGTTTTTAGGTGCTTGTTATTTTCGCGTTTCGTGCCTCCTGAGGACTTCCCGTCGCCACGGCTGGACTCTCCTCGGTGTTCTAGTCAGAACGCAGCCTGTGAGAGGCCCATGGGCAGATCTTTCAGGATCCCTATCAAGGAGACTGGTCCTGGAGTGGTCTACAGACGACCCACGATGATGGGCTGGTCACGTGGAGGGCCCTCGGGCCCAAGACCCGTTCCCAGACCCCCGACGTCATGATGTTTGTTACAATGTGCACCCCTGGAAGTCCCGACCCATTCCCCAGGACGGGGCTTCCATCCCGAGTCGTTGCTTCACGGTCCTGGAGCCAGGGCCCCAGAGCCCGAAAGCTGTAAAGAAGCGTCCGTCGTGATTTTCCCACGACGCGAGGGGGTCTGGGCTTGAGGGGGGCCCTTCCTCCCCCCCACACTTCCTGCCCAGAGGAGTACCAGAGCCTCGCTGTGAGGCTGCAGGAGCTGTACGCCGAGAAGCTGCTGCCCCTCGAGAGGGAGATCTAGGCCTCCCAGGTGGGGTCCGAGTAGATTGGGCCGGAGGATCGCGCCGCATCGGCGATGCATCGACGATGCGGCTCGATGTGGAGCCCGTGTTTCCCCACACCGACGTCGCCAATATCGCCGACGCGTCGCCGACGCATCGCCGATGCACCGCCGATACATCGTCGTTGCACCGGCGATGCGGCGCGATCCTTCGACCTCATCTACTCGGACCCCATCTAGGAGGCCTCTAGGAGAGCAGCTTCCACGTCTTCCAGTCGGCCGAGCTACCGCCGGCGCACTTCTCCTCGCGCCCCATGGTGCTGCTGATGCCGGAGGCGGGCCGGCCGAGGCGGCGGCGGCGGCCCTCGCCGGCATCTTCGGTCCTCGTCGCTGGAACTTTTGGAGGCTCCTCGTCGCCACGGCTGGGTCCGCGTCGACAAACGGGCCAGGATTGGCTCGAAGAAGAAGAATAAGAAGGAGACGGCTATTAACAATCATAAGAAGAGTACGAATAAGGATAATAACGTGAATAATGATATTAATAACCAGCATGCCAATATGAGTAATACGAATCATCGCAATAATGATAAGAAGAACACGATCTCAAATACTCATATTAATATGGTAGTACGAATACAACTTACATTACTCACAAGACTAAATAATGGTACTACTAATATAAATGCGAATGATCATCGCAATACTAAAACATATTCCGAATACTCATACGAATAATACTCATGTGCGGTAACGAATGCTAAGTACATTTTTTAAATGATATTATGAAGCATGGTCATCATCAGAAGAATATTAGTACCAATGCTAACGGCAATAACAACAATCATCCGAATAGTAACCAAACTAATTATATTCATATCAATATGAAGAAGGGTAACAGTATTACTAAGAACAATAATGTCATACTAAAAACAAATAGAGCGCCATAAACTGAAGCTCTTGGCGCTCCGCGCGGATTTCTGGGATCCGCGCCTGGGGCCCCCCCTGGCGACGCCACCTGGCGCGCTCCGGGCGCCAAAGAGGGGGGTCGAGCGTAGATTCAAGAAGTCCGCGCGGAACGCCAACAGCTTATGGTTATGGCGTTTTCGTGGGTTCTTCTGTTCTCGTCGCCACGGCCAGGTCTGCGTCGACAAACGGGCCAGGATTGGCTCGAAGAAGAAGAAAAAGAAGAAGAAGAAGAAGAAGAAGAAGAAGAAGAAGAAGAAGAATAAGAAGAAGAAGAAGAAGAAACAACGCCATGAACAGAAGCTTTTGGCGCTCCGCGTGGATTTCTTGGATCCGCGCCTGGGGCCCCCCTGGCGGCGCCTCTGGCGGCGCCGGGAGGGAGATCCAGCGCAGATCCAAGAAATCCGCGTGGAGCTCCAAACGTGGATGTTTATGGTGTCTTTTCGTATTCTGTTCTCGTCGACAACGGCTGGGTCCGCGCCGACACAGCGGGCCAGGATTGGCCCTGGGAGGGGCCCGGGGACCGACTGTGAGCGGACTTGGGCCGGGCGGGAGAGCCGCCGCTGCCTCTCTTGGCCCTGCTCCGGTGATGGGCCACTACTCCACCGGCAAGACGACCTTCGTGCGTCACCTGCTGGGGGAGGACTACCAGGCTGGGGGAGCCGAGGAAGAACAACTGCAGCGTTCATCATCATCATTCGGAGGTCCACGCGGATCTCTTGGCTGGGCTCCCCTTGGCGGCGCCTCCAGCGCGGCCCCTGGCACGCTCCGTGCGCCTGGCAGGGGGGTTCAGCGCCGGATCCAAGAAGTCTGTGCGGACCTCAAACAGGTTGTGGTTACGCAGTTGTTTCTTCTCCAGAGCAACCCTGGATCTTCGACGCCATCGGAGCCCGAGACACAATTTCTATGTGGTATTTTTCTAGCCGGATCGATCTGTGATGGTCATGGGGCCCGAAACTGGGCGAAAACGCCCAGTTTGGAAAAAATGCCTTGCCCAGATCTCGGGACGGATCCAAGACATCCGCCCGGACCTCCGCACGTTCCAAGCCATCCGCGCGGACCTCCGCACGTTTGTGTTTAGCAGTTTTGTTTTCCTGTGATGAGGGGAAGCGAGAGACTGGAGTTCGCTGGAGCTCGGCTCTACCGACGTTTTTTGACGGACCCGTCCTGATTTTTGACGTTTATGTTTTCGTGGTATGTTTGCAGCGGGAGTTGGCGTCACTTTCTAGACCCAGTCTCGCCATTCGTGGCTTGCCCCGTCAAGCCAGCCCCAGTCCCCCGAACCCGAGTCTTGTGTCTCCCCGATTTCCAGGGGAGGCCAGACCTCTAGGCCGCCCAGATGGGGTCGGAGTAGATGGGGTCGCAGGATCGCGCCGCTGCCCGATGCATCGTCGATGCGGCTCGATGTGGAGCCCGCTTTCCTCCACGCCGACGTCGCCGATGCATCGCCGATGCGGGGCGATCCTCCGACCCCATCGAACTGCTCCGACCCCATCCGGGAGGCCTCCGCGGCCGTGCTCCAGGGCAGGCGTGCACCCCGCAGAGCGGCGCCTCGGGGGTCCACCTCTGGGCGCCCCCAGCTCCCAGGCTCCGACGCCGCATGCTGCGGCTGGAGCCGCGGCCCCTGCGACGCCCCAGCCCAGACCGCCTCGCATCGTGAAGAAGCACGATTCTTTGTTCTTGATAGATACACATATACAGAAATAAGCGTACATATGTTTGTTGTTGGTCGTTGTTGTTGTTGTTGTTGTTGTTGTTGTTGTTGTTGTTGTTGTTGTCGTTGTCGTTGTCGTTGTCGTTGTCGTTGTCGTCGTCGTCGTCGTCGTCGTCGTCGTCGTCGTCGTCGTTGTTGTTGTTGAACACTATTACTTCTAAAGAATTATTATTGTTGGACCCCCTGTGCACGCCCCCGCCCAAAACCTAGGCCGCAGCTACATTTTCATCATTTTTTCTTTCTGCGAAAGCTTCAGAAAAGTGGATTACCCCCGGATCCGGTTTTTTGTTGACGCTCGTTTTCCCTTGCAAAAAACAATAGAAAATGAAAATTCTTGTTCTTAGTTGATCAAATTTCAAGAATCCCTTGCAAAAAATAAGGTAAAGTGGACATTCGCGCTCGCAAGACGAAATCCTTCCAAAACCTTAGGTTTCGTAGCGATTTTAACATAAAAACATCAAAAACCCAATGGTTTTTTAAGAAAAAATTGTCAAAATGTCCTTCCGCGCGCTCTTGCGGATTCATAGGAAACACACCACTTTTTAAACATTTCTGTCAAAAGGGTCTTTGCGTGCTACTTCTTCAGGTGCTTTGAACTTCTCCAACAACGGTTGCGCGCGTTGGGCACTGAGAGTTAGGATCATAGCGCCATGAGTCTATGAGCAATGCATGCGTCATCCTTGGGACTGTATAACATCAGTGTAACACATGTACTTCTGTAATCGCATCCCCACGAATTTGCCCCAAAAATGTGACCAACTATCTTGGCACTGCGTACCATCTCACGTGTACCGTGTACCACATCATATGTAACAGATGTGATCAACCTCTGTGGGTGTGTACCCCACGCCAGTGTAGTAGCCAGGGTCGTCCGCACGCCACGAAGTGAAGTGTCCCAACGTCATAGGGCGGGAAGCTGGGTGTGGGTGGTCTCGAAGAGTCGTTTGGATATTTGGTAGAGCTTGAACGGCCCCCCCACGAAGTGGGGGTATTGGCTGGTGTCGCAAGAAAACCCTGGCACTGGGGAGAACACTGAGCGTTCGGGTAAAATGATTGTTGTTGTTGTTGTTGTTGTTGTTGTTGTTGCTGTTGCTGTTGTGTTTGTTGTTGTTGTTGTTGTTGTTCGTATTGTTGTTGTTGTTGTTGTTGTTGTTGTTGTTGTTGTTGTTGTTGTTGTTGTTGTTGTTGTTGGTGTTGTTGTTGTTGTTGTTGTTGTTGTCGTTGTTGTTGTGGTTGTTGTTATTGTTGGTGTTGTTGATGTTGTTGTTGTTGCTGCTGCTGTTGTTGTGGTTGTGTTGCTGTTATTATTGTTGTTGCTGCTGCTGCTGTTGTTGTTGTTGTTGTTGGACTTTCACTGCAGAAGAACAGTTATTGCTGATCCCCCCTCCGGTGACCATTGTGTTTTTTTCAATTGAAGCACTTCCCTTGGCTGCACGGGGAACTAACTGGGCCCATGGCCCCCGGTTTAAAACAACAGCGGTTCCCGCCTGATACTTCCTCACAATTCATTTCCAAATCGCGCTCTCGCGCGGGACTTCCTCCCAATTCATGTACGCATCGCTCTCTCGCGTCGGACTTCCTCGCAATTTGTTCAGACGATGCGCCCTCGGCGCTCAGGAATCACGCTCTCGCTTTGGCTTTTCTCACGCATTACTTGGGAATCGCGCTATCGCTCGAGACTTCCTCGCGATTCATGCAGGACCCACGCTTCAGCAACCCGCCTGCTCGACCTGGTCGCCTGGGCCCGCCTTCCCGACCTGCCCGCTATGAGTCTGCCCACCCGATATGCCCGCCTTGTTCTACCACTTGTTTTCTGCTCCTTGCCCCCCTCCTGCTAATTTCTCTCGTGCTCCATTCTTCTCCCTCCCCCTTCCACCCGTGCTCTCTTCCCTTGTTTTAGGGGCTGCGCTAAATTCACGTGGCATGTAAGGGAGATATACCCCAAAGGGGGTACGATCGAATATGACGAGGGCTGGTACCGAGGATTTGGGACATACGCATTGTTTGGCATGTGAGCAGATAGGAGCGAACAGTCTTAAAGTTATTACAGTTGTTGTTGCTGCTGCTGCTGTCGTTGTCGTTGTCGTCGTCGTCGTCGTTGTCGTCGTCGTCCTCGTTGTTGTTGTTGTTGTTGTTGCTGTTGCTGTTGCTGTTGCTGTTGCTGTTGCTGTTGCTGTTGCTGTTGCTGTTGCTGTTGCTGTTGCTGTTGCTGTTGTTGTTGTTGTTGTTGCTGTTGTTGTTGTTGTTGTTGTTGTTGTTGTTGTTGTTGTTGTTGTTGTTGTTGTTGTTTTTATTGTTATTATTATCGTTGTTATCATTATCATTATTAGTGTTATTATTGTTGTTGTTGTTGTTGTTGTTGTTGTTGTTGTTGTTGTTGTTGTTGTTGTCGCTGCTGTGCTTGCTTTGTTTTTGTTTTGGGGTTTTCGCTTCTGGTGGCCCTCGCTGGGCCCCGTGACCGTCACGCAACGACTCGGGATGAAAGACCAGTCCCGTGGAAGGGGTGGCGACCTCTGGGGGTGCACACTGCTCAGACGCATGACGTCGCATGTCTGGGAGCGGGGGGGTACGCCGCCCCCTGGGGGGGGGAGGTCGGGTCTAGGAGTCGGCCGGGGGGCTGAGGAGTCCCAGCACTGGCTCCCAGCACAAAAAGGGGAGGAGGAAGG